CTCTGTTTGTGCCGGGGGACTGGATCTTTGGGATGAACCAGTCTTTGCCGTAATGTATTTTGGGGTTTAAAAGCCACTGGAACGTTATGTTTAGAAAATAAACGTCTCAGTTTCTCTGATACTCCCTCAACATATGGAATGACCACTGGTCTGGGTCTGGGTTCCTCCTTTTCACCTGTTGGCTGACTGGAGTCCTGTTTGGAGGACTGAGACTTGGAAACTTGTAGACTGAGCTGAATACAGCACCTCAGACTGAGGAAGTTTCTCGGATGAGAGACGAAACGTTTCTACATTTTTTTGTTGTTTTGCCTTGTTTTTTTGTTTTTTTTGACTGTCCAGAGGACCAGATTTAACTTTTTTAGAAGTAATTATAATATTTACAAATATAGAAAATAGGAAACAACAACATGGTAGAATTTTACTGGTGCAAGAAGCAGGATGATTTTGTATGAATAAATATTGCGAGATAGTAATATAAGCTCAATTTACATGATATATACAGGTCCTTCTCAAAAAATTAGCATATTGTGATAAAGGTCATTATTTTCCATAATGTAATGATAAAAATGAAACTTTCATATATTCCAGATTCATTGCACACCAACTGAAATATTTCTGTTCTTTAATTGTTTTAATACTGATGATTATGGCATACAGCTCATGAAAACCCAACCCGGGCCGAGCCTCCTCCTCAAGCCTCTCGGGTGACTCACAATAACATGTACCAAAAACACTTTATATCACAGGTTAAATTGTCAGAAAAACAACATTTTTTTAAACTCTCAACTCATTCCACCCTTTGGTTTTCTGACTAATTTTGAAAATTATTCCCTTCAAAATCAAAATCTTCAGGATATCGCCTGCCAACACATTCTTGGACAGATTCACACATAAAATTTAAAAATTCCAAACGGGAATTTAAACCTTGAAAAGTATGATTTATTTACATTACCACTAACATGATAATTCAATATCATGATATCCTCTGGGACTGTGGCGTCGATTGTCATGGTGGTTTTTTCTGTCCCAAACCAATGGTCCTCTATTATTAATACTATTTTCATTACAGGGCTGTGTTATAAATTTTTGGATTGATTCTATCTTTAATCCTTCTAATATAAAAACAAGTGCACAGATTACATATGGTTAATACACCAAAACAAATGAACAAAATCAGCAAAGGAGGGGCTGCATATTGTTCGTGCCGTTGATGACATCCCTGTGAATATGTCCCACCAATGGTGAGCCGATGCTTGTTCTATTAGCTTAGCCGCATGTAAAACCTTTCCTTGAGCAATGTAGGTGGACACTGTTAGATAAGACACGTTTGACTTATGCGACTCAATCATTCGTTTCAGCTCTGTAGACCCATTCAATGCGCATTTGAAACGGTCTAGGGAGACTCGCCAGGGCACGTGCAAAGTTTGCCATTGTATCTCTGTTAGTTGAGTGGTGGAACTATAATTAGTTAATTGATAAGTCTGGTTGTTCCAAGTCCACAGATGTACACCATACACACATCCAGAGAAAGGCACCTTAGGTAATTAAGGATGACTTTTCATGTCTAGCTGGTTCATGAGTCCAATCACACAATACCTCGTCTTTGTTAAACATGGGTTAACATGACCTGTTTGCAGCATACATACCACTCCTTTATCAGCCGTCCCACATAGTTGCACGTCATAGGTGAGATTTGTCTGTGGCTCAAACCATTCACCCTGTATTTTTAAAAACCAATATTCTTGTACAGTTATTACAGCTAACACATGATACCTTCATACTGTAGTTATGTCACTTACAAGATACTGAACCCAAAAACCTTCACACATATATTCAGTACACTTTGTCAATTCAGGTTTTATAACTACCCAATATGTACTAGAAATGTTCCACAGCTTCCTCCACTCATGATGATTTGAGGTGATCACTATTCTCTGGAAGCGTTCTTTCTGCAACTGTGCATGTGTGGTTTGCAGGGTACACGTGGTCCAGTTCAGCACCTGGGTTATGTTTTGGAGTACTTCTTCAGTGTTACCCCACATCTTCAACTGCCAGTTTATTTCTTTTAGCAGTATTTTGGTTGTTTCTTCTTGAGTCATGACTACTGAGGGCATCCAGACTCCAATTTGGGTAACTGCCAACGAAGCATGTTTCCTTCTTCTGTGTTATTGGCAGTAAAGTCAAACTTTGTTCCTTTTTTTTTCCATCTGGTTTACATGTACCGTTCTTATACATGTTACACAGTGGGAGTTTCCACATACATTCTAATCTGACATCCCTTAGGTATCACTGGGATGGTTTTCCTGTTGTAGCATGCCCGACACTTGTACATAGGACAGTCAGTTGTGCCCTATCAGGCAGCTTTTTGTGTTTCAAACATGTGAAGTTACTTTGTCTGAGGAGAGGTCGACCAGGAACACCATGGCACCCACGACAAGGAACCTGATGCCCCAACAGCTTACACTGCCATCTGACGGGCGCTTGCCACCAGCTTCTCCCATGTTGGCTCCTGGGTGGTCCCGATCATCCAGTCAACAAAGACCAAGGAAACATCAAGCTGTAGAAACAAGAAAAACTGCTTAAAGATAAAGAAAAGATCATTAGTTTTCTCTCGGGTAACATTTGTTTACAGGTACATTCACCCGTTTTTCTTCCTCTGCCTTTAGGACATTGCAGACCCAGACCAATTTTTATAACTTGAATTTGACCTGAAATCAATGTCACTGGCTCTAGAGTCCTCAGATCTAGTCCAGCAGATCCAGGAGTTGCTCTGACAGGCAACTCAGCTCTGTCATCAATTTTCCACATCCTGATTGGTTCTTTGTCTGGGGTGCTATACACACTAATCATCCGATTCAAAGGAGTGGTGCCTGGTGCAATGGGCCTCTTATTCAATTGAGACACAGCCTGCAACAAATTTACTTTCCAGTTAGTCAAATCATGTTTGTCATTTAATTTTTTCAGCATTTCTTTTAACAGTCCATTCATTCTCTCAATCAGCCCAGCAGCTTGTGGATGATAAGGAATGTGATAAGTCCATTCAACATGTTTTTCCCCTGCCCAATCTTTAACTTGTTTTCCAGTAAAATGGGTCTCATTATCTGTTTGTATCTGAAGGGGAACCCCATAAAATGATTCCATCATACTAAGACATTTTAAAGTAGATGTCTAATTTCCATATTTACAGAAATGAGTCACTAACACACCTGAATATGTATCTACAGCCGTACATACATATCTACACCCCTGTGACATGGGCAAAGGGCCAATGAAATCCATCTGCCAGATTTGACCTGGTCCCTTTCCTCTGTATTCGTCCCTGCACATGCTGTGGTGACCCTCTTTTCTGATGCTGACATGCTTCACATTGCTGTATTGCAGTTTTTATGTTGTAGTATGCTAAGGCTAGGTTAGCTTCAGTTAGCTTAGGAGCTCCACTACAGTCAATTTTTAATAACGGGTTCTCACTTTTTCGAGCTACTTGACAGATATGTGACAGAGGTACTGTGTTGGAGATGGTCTAATCAGTGACATGAGACGTTAATTTTCTTTGACCCATCAAAATGAATGTGGTCATTTATTAACAGAATCAAAATTTAACATCAAAACATTGTACACTTGATTATACTATCGGCTCTGATTAATAAAACTTGGCACGTTTTACTTAATAAAAACAACAGACATTTCTGAAGATATCTGGATTAATTACTGGCAAGATAGAAGTTTGA